GACGTCTACCAACAGAGACAGAGGAGAAAACAACGAAAATAAAGGCGTAGACTCGGTCTCACATTAAGAGAGTCCAATTGTGAAGACGATTTGCCTGCCAACAGAGGACTTCCGCGCGAGCATCATGATTATGAGTTTAAATAAAGACAAAGGTCTCTGTCTGAATATTTGAACAATAAGGCCGAAAAATCACATGGAGGCACGGGGCATCTCACGCAAACTGTGTGTTTGATATGGGCTATTCTCGGAACTCGTCGGTTATTTCTGCGACCGTAACTACATAAAATTGCTCATTTAGAGTTTTTCACTTCCCTCATATCAAACTTGTTTATTGTCTCCTCTGATTTCTCTCTGTCAGTTCAGTCTCGGTATTGGACTACGAGAGAGTTCTTGTATAACCAACCTGACGGTTGTGTCTCTCGTATGTTTCTTTTTTAGCTTTTGTTTTGTGTTCGCTGCTCACGCCATTTTGCTATTAGCTATGATAGAAACAGTCCGTTCGTTGCTGTTTGGTGCTATTAGTTTTATGTTTTCTATGTTGCTTTGGCATTGCCTTGTTGCAATTTGTATTTTTGCTGTTACCCGCTCACCTTTTTTTTCTTACGATTTCTGTCTTTCAAACTAGATTCTCTGTCTTTAAAACAGAATAATGAAACTCACGTTGTTGTTGATTTGCCTCTATTACACGTAATATTTGTAGCAATCAGTGTTGAAGGGGCATTCCTGCCGCAAATTCGTCTGGTGTTCTGAAGAATGGAATTAATGTCTCCTGTTACTTGAAATATTCGGCATTCTTTGGTTTTCTCAATGTCGAGGTGAAATGTAAACTGAGTTGATTAAACTAAAAACACGTATGCCTCTTTAGTCGAACACAATTCTTACCTTTAGGCTGTTTATAGTTTTGACAACTCAACACTACGTCATTTCGGATACGGAATCTGACACAACCTAAATTGTGTAAAATCTGCGACAGACCCCAGACTTGGTACTCCAGTACTACTAATTTCTGACGCATTATCACGTGAAACATTCTTCACCACCATCATCTTCTTTCTCTCTCTCTTTCCCACTTCAACAACCCCCCGCCCCCCCCCCTCGCCCCCCTCGCCCGCCCGCCCGTCCTCGTTATACCAACGGACCAGCAGCAGAGATCCGAACTTCAGAAGTTCCCCCGGTAAAACAAAGCGACTCTGTGTGAGCGTGTGTCCCCGAGTGTGGTGCTGTGGAAACAATTGCTTTCCTCGAGGCTATTCATAAGGGATATCTTTGTCCGCACCGACTGTAATAAGTGAATGGAGTGCTGGCAAAGAAGAGACAACAAGAAAACATCTCACGGGGTCTTGCGCTCCGAAAGAGGGGAGATAATTTGTATCGATCTGCTGAGAGCTCCGTGAAAAGCCATTGTATCCGCAACCTTTGTGGGGAGAGACGTCTAATCCTACATGTGCGCACGAGATAGAGTTTCGTCTTTGGTTTCGAACAGATACACAAGTTGGACATCGATTTTGTTTTTCTCGTATTTGAGATCCGTCTCTTTGAATTCCGTGTGCGATTTGTTTTTGTTTTTTTGTTTTTTATTCATACCAGTTACAAAACAATCTCGTTTTGCCATAGTTTTCCACAAAAAAAGAAGACGAAAAACGTTCTTACCACATAAATTGATGTCTGTTGGGACGGATTGCTCAGGGCATTCTGCCTTCTGCAGTTTATGTGTTCCTATACACAATCGCTCAGTTCAGATTCTGGGGAACCAGCCGGTGACAGGTTCTCTGATATACTGCCGGCAAACAATTCAAATATCCTAAGCCCAGAAACTAAACTGTTTCAGGAGGGGGGGAGAGAGAGAGAGAGAGAGAGAGAGAGAGAGAGAGAGAGAGAGAGAGAGAGACAGAGACAGAGACAGAGACAGAGACAGAGACAGAGACAGAGAGACAGAGAAAATACACATTCTTTAAAAAATCAACCCGTATTAAACATCTTGGGGTTGTTTTTTCAACCTTGAGAATTTTAATTTCGACAGAACATTTCTTGAACACATGGAACTTTTACCGCGAATTCAGGAACTATATTTAAGGGGAAAAACATTTTAAAAGTGCTAGGCTTAGTACCTCTGAACACCTGTACAACAATATGCTTCATCGGTATCATTTGTATGATATGTCCCCGTTCATAAAGGTACAGTTGTGATTACCAGTGCGCTTTCAAACGTAGTCTTCTTCATTTTTGTTGTTTTGTTGTTGTTGTTTTTTTTGCTGCTTGATCTATGAGTGGATTGTTGGTGGGTGCTCCGCTGGTCCGCTGTTTTTACTTCTTGTCTCTCAGATTGCAATTGTTTTAACCCCCCCCCCCCCCGGCCACCCCGTTTTCCCAAATCACCGACGCAATTTAGTTCAATCAGTAAGCGGGCTGCTACTACCCAGGATGTCAGGGTCAAACTCTGGTCCAATGGGATACAGCATCTCAGCAATTAGACGGACATGCTCAGGAAATACTGAACGAAAAAAAGGAAAGAAAAATGTCGTAACTCGGGAATCGAACTCACGTCTTCTGTGTAAAATGGCAAAGGGCTCGTGGGTGGTTGGCGGGTGCTCTGGTATGGTTTGCTTCTTCTTTCCTATCAAACATCTATTGTCTTTATCTCCCCTCCTTCTTTTGTTGTGTTTGTTACTCTCTTGTGACACCGCTAATCTTCGGCAGGTATATGGCCGAATTGTGTTGCAAGTGCCGTAAAACGCTTAATAAAACAGAACAACGTTTGTATGGGGGACGCCGTTCTACTTCTTTGTTATATTAGTGTTGTCTTAATCAGTTCTTTTTCATAAAATATCGGCCATCTCACGCAGTAGACCAGAGTTTGATTTCCAAGTTGAGAGGGTTTTTTAAAAAATCAAGTTTATGTGTATCCGTCTGTTTGCGTGGTTGCGGGAATTTTAAATCCCTATCAGTCCAGGCTAGCCCTGACAGTTAGGTTCAATCAGCCCGCCCCCTACACGGTCTAACTTGTGGGTGGGTGGTTGGCGGGTGTTCTGGTGCGGTTTGCTTCTTCTTTCCTATCAAACATCTATCGTCCTTATCTCCCCTTCTTCTTCTTCTTTATGTTTGTTACTCTTTTGTAACACCTCTAATCTTCTGGCGCTCATATGACCTTATGCAGTTGCGAGCGCTGTAAAACCTCTACTGAAACTAAAACAACTTGTGTTGATGGTGGTGTAAAAGTTTACAATGAAATGAGTTGTTTTTTCTTTGTGCTCCTCGTACTTATTGATGGCTTACCCTAGCTTTGAATCCATTTAACGATCACGATGCAGTATTTGGAGTTCGATTTTTTGTTTGTTTTCCTCAGCTGGAATTTTAAGCAAACAAAGACAGCTGGATCAGAGATGTTCTGTTGGGTTTTACTTTTTCTTTTTTCTAGTTCGTTGAAATATGAACAACGCAATTTGAAAATGTCACAGCAACGCCGTTGGTCATATTTGCTTGACACTTGCCACTCACTGGTGTGGGTTTTCGAAATGACCTTTTCTGTTTCAAAAATGTGAGACGATGCGAAAAAAACAACCAACCTTAGAACAGTGTCTTGTTTGTGTTTTCATCAAATTAACGAGACGAGCTACTCTTTTGGGAAAGAAAATTTAATCCACGAGCATTATTGTAGATGTCACCGCTGGTGCTGTTAAAAACCTTTTGTTTCATTTCTCAGCCAGAAGTTATTTTTTGAACGATCTTTTATACAGATTACGTAACTCTCCAAAAAATAGTATCTGGCGCGCAATTGAATGGACGTCTCTGGTGTAGCGGTTAAGCGCTATAGCCGTAACCTGCAGTAGACGTGGGTTCAATTCCCTGTTGGGAGAAGTGGATGGTTGGCGGGTGCTCTTGTGTGGTTTGCTTCTCCTTTCCTATCAAACATCTATCGTCCTTATCTCCCCTTTTCTTTTTTAATGTTTGTTATTCTCTTGTAACCCGTCTAATCTTCTGGCGCCCATATGACCTTATGTAGTTGCGAGCGCCGTAAAACCACTACTAATATTTCTTTTTAATTTGATTATTAAATTAAAGGGGAGAATTTTTATTGGTAATGTCGGTTATTATTCCTTTCACCCGGGTTGACTCTGACAGGTATTGTCGAAGCAGCCCTCCTCTGAACTGATCTAAATCGTGCTGCTAGGTGTGTGAAAGATGTGCAATTACAAACAGCACATTTTATTTATATAGTAATGGAACCTTTGCGGCCGCACATTATTATGTGGGTGGTGGGCGGGTGCTCTGGTGTGGTTTGCTCCTTCTTGTCTATCAAACATCTATCTTCCTTATCTCCCCTCCTTCTTTTTTATGTTTGTTATTCTCTTGTAACACCTCAAATCTTCTGGCGCTCATATGATCTTAATATGCAGTTGCAACCGCCGTTAAAAAAAACTCCACTAAAACAAAACACAATGTTATGGACCGACGTCAGTAGGTGGTTGGTGGCTGTTCTAGTTTGGTTTTCACCTTCTTTAACCTATCAAACATCTGTTGTACTTATCCCCCCCCCCCCCCCAACTTCTTTTATGTGTTTATTACTCTCTCAAAACACCTCAAATCTTCGGCGCATTTATGACATAAGTGTGTTGAAAGCGCAGTAAAACGCTAACTTAAAGCTTGAAATGACCGGTGTCTATGGTGTAGTGTATAGGCGCTTTGCCGTCGCACGCAGAAGACGTGACTTCGATTTTTGAGAGGCATTGTATCGTCGCTTTTTTTGGGCTGATGGTTGTTTGTTTTTATGTTTTGTTTTGTTTTTATTAAACTTGTATTGTTCTGCGTCTCTTCACCTTTTGGCTAGTTTAGTACAAATGAAGAGTTGCTGTCTAATTGAACAAATTGAGTCCTTGTACGTCCGTTTTCCATACATAACTGCCAGTATATTAACTAGGCTACATGTATAGACAAAGTATATTAACTACACCTATTACATCTATACTTTTTAACTTTCATGATGTTTTTTATTCTCTTCTCAGGTGACCATGCTGTGTGTTTATCTCCCCTGAGATCTCCATGAATACGATCGCCATCACCTCAACGTTTACGACTGTTGGTCGTCTTTGGTCTGGGTTGTGACGAGGGTGGTTGACCACGGCAGCGAACACCTGTGTTCAGATCTGGTCAGGAAAACTGCTCGCTACAAAGTGCACGAAAAGACTCAAGTTGTTCACTTTAGGGTGGAAAAACGCATACCTTTTCTATAACCGAGAAATAGGTTTTGTAGTGCTCACGAATCTTTAAATGTAACAAGAAACATAGGCATGTTAAAAAAGTAAATGTTACTTCTGAAGCAGAGTGTTTGGTGGTATCGTTTCTTTTGAATTTGTGTGAAATACGAGACTGGGTCGTATAAATGGATATTCCACCATTCTCAAGAGAGATTTTGATACGCCGTGTGAGATAATTCCTGTGATCCGATTTTATATCTCATCTTTCCCGAAGTGATTTGAATCGAGCACAGGTTCAGTGTGAATCAGAGCGCAGTCTTGCGAAGTGGGTTATTCTGGATTCATAACCGGCAACTACTTATAGACTTGTTGGTGTTGATTTTCAAGAGTATACTGTTGTCAAGATTCTTTCAAAAACCGCATTAAGCTCATTTCTACTTATGAACACCGGATAGAGAGCAGCATTGAAAATTCCTATTCGTCCAGGACCCTATCCACAGCAGCATCGAAAACCCTCTCTAAAAGTGTCTACCTAAACGTCCATCGAAGACACTGTCGAATATCCATCAAAGACAAAAAGTCTTGACTACAATCTTGGCAATGACGTCAGTCCACGTACACATGTCACTCAGATGAAGAGGCCCCGCCCCTGTTGCGAGCGAGTGCCCGCCCCCTGTGGAGCCTGATGTTGACGAGCACGCCCCTGAGTGTGCTGAGCTTCATCATGGAGACCGTCCATCAGCTGGACCCCGCCCTGCTAGCCTTCTGGGAGGGCTTCCCTTGTCCTCCCCCATGGAAGGAGGACTTGCTCTTCCGGTAAGACATTACATTTTTAAATTAATTAATGTTTTTGTTGTTTTATGTTGGGATTTATATTTTTGTAGGCCTACTGCTTTGTTCTTTTTTTTTTTGGTTTTATGTGGGTGAGTGGGCAAGGGGGGGGGGTGGAAGTAGTGAGGGGCGGGGGAAAGAGGAAGGGGATATGGCAGGAGGGAAGAAAGAGCGAAAGACTCGCAGAGAGAGAAAAATAGAGATAGAGAGAATGAATAGAGAGAAGGATAGAGAGAAATAAAGCGGAATAATAGAGACAGTGGGCAAGAGTACTGGGATGTTCAGTTTTGAATTTTTAAACATTATATTTTTCAGCACGTTCGCTTTTCTTTTCAAGGAAAGTTTTGACAGATAGTATTAACTCTGTATCCCTAGAATTTGTTTTTCTTTAGAGTCATACCATTTGAAGTATATCATTATGGAACACTGTTAGTCAAACTAAAAAAGACATTTCCCAGTTACAACAAACAGTCAGCAGCTACCCACTACCCTATCCTTCATCAGGGGCCTCGCCCATTTTCTACCTTTGGGTGCCCGTTCATTCCCCTGAAAAACATTGCTTTGAACTTTGCGCAAGGTCTTCAAGCTTTACCTTGATATTAAAGTCGATCCCTTCTAAAACAACCGTCCATTGTCGATGAGAAAGGTGTTAATCTTAGGCTTTTATGGCGCTCATATGACCTTATTCAGTTGCGAGCGCCGTAAAACATCTACTAAAACAAAATAGGCTTCTTAAACTGTGTCATTATAATGCAGAAAAAATGCATCTGACAGGGTGGCAAGTGGTTGTTTGTACAGGTGGTTGTTTTGGACGTTAGAGCCGAATGGGCTGTATAAAGGTTTTTCCTTCAGGCAGTAGAGACTATAGACCCGATATCTCACCGGCGTCTGTGGTGTGGCGGTTTGGCGCTCCGCTGTCGCATGTAGAAGACGTGACTCGATTGCCGTAGGTGTGAGGAGTTTTGTTGTTTTTGTATCTCCACGACTTGTCTGCTGGGGTGTTGCATCTTTATCAGCCTAGGTTGACCCTGAAAGATAGAGCCGAAGCAGCCCGCGACCTAAATTATCTAAAGTATGTCGTTGGGGGCGTAAAACTTTTGCAGTTACGCTTTATTAAATTACCGTTAGATCCTCCAGCCAGTCATTCGACTTCAGTACAAAGAGACTCCGGGACAAGTCCTTACTGGGGTATAGGCTTTTGATGTATTTGTTCTAGTTGTTAGTTTTTAGTTCGCTCCTGTTGGAGATGGGCGTTCATCTCTGAGATACGGCATCTCGAATAGACTTACGTAGATGAAAGGCGCGTCAAAACCGCACCATAGCATTTTTCATCCAATCGTTTTCAAACTGACGTTTTTTTCACAAATTCCCCATATTAATTAGTGTGCATTGTGAGTGGTAAAGGATGCGAAAAACAACGTTAAAAAATTAAATAAGTTTAGCGAACATGGACACAGAGTAGTGGGGTAAGAAATAAAAAAGGAAAATTCTGCTTTCGAGTTCTCGGCTTAAGAAAAAAACGTTAAAAACTGGTTTTCGCTGGGTGCCGTTTTTCAGCCACCTGCGCCTCACCTTTTTTTGCCTCGCCTCTTTAACAGTTTAAGTCGTGCTGAAAGGGTCTGAGGCATAAACTAAAGAGGTTTTATTTAATTTTTACATGTCTTTTTTCCTCTTAAACTGCTTAAGTGGAACTAAAAGTCCCCGATGTCTGAAATGGGAAGGAGAATGCGAGGGATAGGGGATAGGGTAGAGGTGGTTACGTCTTTTTATCAGGCTCGTGATGTCAAGATTTTTTTTCCTCTTCTGGTCATGTTTTTAAAGAAATGGACATCTTAAACAGGGAGAGCGGAAAAGAGAGAGAGAGAGAGAGAGAGAGAGAGAGAGAGAGAGAGAGAGGGGGGGGGGAAGAGAGAGAGGGGAGAGAGAGAGAGAGAGAGAGGCAGAGAGCGAGGCAGAAAAGGATAGACAGATAGAAAAGTGGAGAAAGAAAGGAAAAGAGAGAGACACAATAATATACTGAGAGGGAGAGAGTGATAATGAGAGAGAGTGAGAGAGAGAGAGAGAGTGAGAGAGAGAGAGAGAGAGAGAGAGAGAGAGAGTCAGACAGACAGACACACAGACAGACACACAGACACACAGACTGACAGACAGACAGAGACAGAGAAAGAAGGAGAATGAGGAAGACAGAAACAGAGAGGCCGAGAGAGAAGGAAAGACTGAAAGAACTAGATGCTGTAAGCTTGAGTGGTCTGATTCTTGATGGTCTTATCTAGCATCACATTTTGCAACCTGCTCACTTTTCTTAAGTGGGAAGTTTGGCAGATAATATTTACTGTCTCCTTCTGATTTCTCCCGTCTTGTGTCATATCATTTTGTAGCATGCCATCGTGTCTCTCTGTCTGTCAAAATAGAAAAAGACAATATTCAATAGCAACAAGTATAGCCTTCTTTAAAGAAAGACATTTATTTTAAACGAACAATAATTGCCCCACTGCTTGTTTACGCATTCACGAATAATAGATAACACTCTCCTTGAGCCCTCCATTCGGAGCTCACTTGGCCTACTTCTACTTTCATCCAAGCTCTGCGCCCTCTGAGCAGCCACATATTATAAGTTGTTGTTACGTTGTGCACAAAGACTCCATCAAGTTGTTTTAACAACGGGAAAAGAGGGGGGGGGGGCTTATGTATACTTTTACCGAATATTGTGATCAACTTATTTTAACTACGGGGGAAAAACAGGGGGGGGGGGGGTAGGTACACTTTTACTGAATATTGTGCTGTGAGTCGGGTTGAACGTTAATGGCAAAACGTCTATGGACTTGCAAAGTTTAAATGCCATCATTAACTCACGCACGCGTGCCCGCAAAACTGTGTGCGTGCATCTTGTTTGTGTTTGTGTGTGTGTGCGCGCTTGTGTGTGTGCGTGTTTGCATAAATGTGTGTGTGTGTGTGTGCATAAATATGTGTGTATTTGTGTGAGTTGTGCGTGCTCACCCGAACAAACTTGACCACCAGTACCCACATCTTTATCCAAATCCCTACTCTTGCTCCAGATGGCTTCAAAGATCATTTGGTTTCACCCCTCGACCTATCTCCTCGTGTGCACACACTCGAGCCCTGGGGGCACTTCTCTATGGCATTGGCTCGTTGTTGCTCTGGCATTAGAATGAAAGAACCAAGTAAATGCGAATCTAGGTTAAGTCAACTTTTTTTAAAAACCGGTTTATGTTATGTAGCAGCAAGGCACTTCGCCATCACATGCAGTAGACCTAAATTCAATTCCTGTGTAGGGGGGGAGGATTTATCGAGTATCTTTCAGTCTTCCTACTCAGTCGATGGAAGTATAAAACACTTATATTTTAAACAAATCAACTTTTAAAAAAAGATTTGGTTCAGGTAAAGATATCTACATCTTTCTATCAATGCTTAGAAGTGGTATCTAAGTATTCAACAAATGTATATAAATATTTTTGTAAGTCCAAAAGTTGAACGAATGGCATATGTATCCCTTCATTGCTGAGAAGACTCCACCTATGTTTGTACAAGGTAAAACGTACCGCGTCTGTGGTGAAGCGGTTAGGCGCTTCGCTGTTGCACGTAGAAGACGTGTGTTCGATTCCCGAGTCAGGAGCATTTTTATGGAATATTTCCATCTTTCTGCTTGGAAGTTGTGTCCATCTCAGCCCGGGTTGGCCCTGACAGGCAGGGTCGCAAGCCCACCAAGTAAATCATCTAAATTGATGGAGGAGGACGTAAAACTACCTACGCTTTTTTTCTTGTCATTAAGGTAAAAATGTTCACTCAATATAGATTCAAACACGTCTATTTCTATTAAAGAATAATCGGCGTCACTATCTGCAACTACACTTTATACCCAATAAAATTTCCCCCATAATTCAGTAGAAATGTAAGTTAACCAGTTAAGGAGAATGCGAACGAATAGGTCTTCTCAGCAGTAAAGAGACATTAAACTTAGGTGGCGTCGGAGGCCTAGCGGCATTGCGGGTTCGGGGGTTCGAGCCTCAGCTCGGCCCGACGTTGTGTCCTTGGGAAAGGCACTTTCCGTGAATGTCCTCTTTGGCTCGGTCCTTTCGGAGATTGATGTAAAACTGGGAGGTCCTGCCTCTTGTATAACCTAACAGAGTTGATTGGGGTTTTAAATCTATACCATTTCACCATTTCTCACTAAGTTTCATCTAATTTGCAAGTTAAGGAAACTGCGTTTTTGTTAGATACTAGGTTTAGAGTTTAAACGGTAGTGCAGTCTAGAGCCACAGCCTGGCCAATCGTCCACTGGTATTAAGGGCAGTTAGGGGAAATTATTTCTTTTCTTCTACCAAGTTGGTTCTCTTTGACGTGGAGGCGTTTATTTTGAAACGCAGAAGAAACTTGTACAAGGTTGACGATTTTTTTTAGTTTGTGTGTTTTGTCCGTGTGTGT